ATAAACGAATTCTGTATTTGGAAATAATCCTCGTTCACTTTCAAAAAAAAGTGAAACACAGCCAGCACTTTTCAGCTTTGTTAATAAGTTTAATGGAATACTGCCCTCTTCTCCTGCTTCTTTTATCGCGGTTTCATTAATACCAAATCCTACGCTCAATCCTCCACTTATCATGTTATCCCAATAACCAGGCCATGTTTGTTTATTAGGACTACGTTTTTGTAGCCAAATAGATAGTCCTTTTACAGGATCCATTACGTATCCATTAATATCCACACCATATTTTCGAATTCCAAATAAACCTAAATTAAGAAATTATGTAGTTATGTGATTGTTAAATTTAATTATATAAAGTCTTATTTGTATTTACACGTCGCAGAACGATCCATCTTAAACAGAGCAGGAGTATTAAATTGAGCTCGAACATCATAATACTCTTCTCTCCAACCTCTTAGAGTAATAAATTTTTCACCAGCTCTCCATTCTTGTAATACTTCATTTACTCTTGCACTCCTTTCTGCATATCCTCTGAATGCAGGATTAAGTTGTACATAATCAGGTTGAACTTGGAATACCTTAAAATAGATTAAATATTTCATATTGTTTTATTTTGTCTTAAATAGTATGATTTTAAATATAAGTTAATGACTTAAAAATGTACTTGAGGGTAATTTAAGAGTTCTTTCATTACATCAGGTCTGACAAGACCCACTTGTTGACCATCGACAATAAATGCTCTGCATTCACCAGCGCGGAAGCCTTAAATGTTCATATAATATAAATTTATAAATAAATGTTATTTCATACGGACTATATGCTTATTTATCATTTTATAATAATATTATGATTATGACTAATTAAATGTAACAGGATTATGACCAATGTTGAATTTATAAGAAAATTTATGATTAATAAAAAAAATCTAAATAATGAAAAATTGTTTATATATTGATTTCAACCGAGAAGGAACTTTTCATGCACAAAATTGAATATTATTTGTTATGATTACTACTTATTTTAATAAATTAAAACACAAGAAAAATATTAATGAATATTGATAAAATGTTATTTCAAATATTAAAATCAAATACAATATACACACAT